ACATCAGGATGTGCATTGCTTCCACTTTGCAGATTTTTCTGCCCATTTTGTGCATGTCCGCTGAGTCTGGCTACAGCCATGTCTTTCACAACTTATAGTCCAAGAGCCTTGCTGATTGCACTGGCCATTTTGTATCTGTTCGAAGCAATTACTCTGTTAACGTTGATCGAAACAACCTGATTCTCTCTTTTTACTGTAGTAGCACTGGAGTGTGTCGATAGAAACTACTGCAATACCTGGGACTCGTGACACTCGCGCACTATCGATGTGGATTTCCACCTTGTCCTTGTCAAAAGCACCTTTTAGGTATCACCCGAAGTCGTTCTCATGGCATGATTTTCGTGGCCTTATAGTATTTGTGAGTAAAGTCCCCTAGAGAAAGAGAGAAATAACATTTATTTATACATCCGGCGTGTAGGAAGTCCCTGGCCTTACAGGGCGCGGATGTTCCCTATCTTAAGATTACGGCTATTAGAGTCCGATAATCTTAGAGCCCAGACCTCGAGGATGTTGTGCTCTGCCTAGGCGACAGTTGCTCGGGTGCCTCCGCGCCCGTTAGACGGATCGTCGGCTCCTTTTCTCCGTTGCTTCGCCAAAGCCTCCTCAAGCCGCTGGAGGCTCATTCCTTTGTTGCATGCCAATGTACGCTAGAGCACGAACAAGGTTGTGGATTATGCCGTCTGCTTCAGCTTCATTCTCAGGTGGCCTACAGGATGCAGTAAAGGACGTCTTCTGAGATGTCTTTGTCTTCTCAGCCTCAAAGGTTGACATTTTGGGCTTGACAGGATGACGCTAAATACTCACAAATTAGGTCATAAAGCGTCTTTGCTCGATCGGTAACCATCTCAGTGTTGCAATATTTGCGCTATAAACTACGGCTGTGTTTCACTGTGGCCTGGAGACTGTCATTCTCATTCCACCAGTCCCCAGGTGTCTTTCGTTTTCTTGTCTCCAATGCAGAATTCTTTTTGTGCTTCGTACTGAGCCCCAGTTTGAGATGAATGTTTGACACAGCTAATACAAAGGGGGAGCCGGTATCAGGCCTTAGGTATTCTTTCACAACTAACTGTCCGTCCAGACATGCTGTGTTCAGCCAACCACTTTTTAGCTCTGTCAAGCATTGCCTTGCAAGCCTTACTCGCTGCCGGCAGCCACCTCATATGCCCACTTAACTCTTTCTGTACTGCATCCACATGGCTTTGATAGCCCACTATCGAAAGTTTGAATTGCTGCATTCGAGACATCTCGTGTCTTTCGCGAACATACTGCACCATCCATCATGAAGGAGAAAATCTGTCATTCAATTCATGTCGTTTTTTCCCCCTGTATGGCCTTGGTTTTTGAATGAGCTTCGAAGTTGCGCGATCGTCTAGTGGGAAGCAGATATGGTCACAGTGAGGTTCGTGTGCCCTTTTGTCTGTTGTGAACCGAGAATGCTGGCCCTCGTATGTCGCTGATGAGGGTAGACTTAGACTGGGTAAAATTAGTTCGTTTATTCGTGATGCGCACCCAGCGCATTTTGAAATCCGTCTCTTCCGGACCCTCCCCTCGCGTCTGTTAAAAACAATGCTGCACGGGGTCGTTTCAAGTTCATTCACGAAGGTCTCGTGTGAGGGTCACATTCTCACGGTCCCAGCACGGTGCCTCCTCTTGCGTCCGTTAAAAACACTGCTGCACGGGGGTCTTCTCAAGTTCATTCGCAGAGGTCTCGTGCGAGGGTCACTCTCTCACGGTGCACGGTGCTTCCCCTTAGCATTGTCCCACTGCTCACTTTTTTTTATCCAAGTCACAGGCACCGCGCAGTTCAACCTGACAACTTTGCTGCAGTATTGGGCAGTAACTAGTTGTTTGTAACATGTTATCGGTAACTACTTACTTTTTCCAGTATTTCCAACGGTAACTAGTTAACTTTAAAATAAAGGAACATGTGTAACACTGTTACTTTTTTATGCAGTAGCGGTAGTGGAATGTACCGTTAGAGTTACTTTTTTTTAATCTCGTAAAAAATTATTTAACCGCAACACTTGTTAGAAGCCATTGTTAAATGCTTTTGACTTTTTCGAACTTTCTTCACCACATTTTCTCCAGGTTCTAGCTTTCCAAATGAGGGCTCACTCATAGTTAAGAAGTCGCTGAGAGGAATATTCATTATACAAAAAACGCGGCGTACGACAAGGACACAAGAAGGAAGAGTAGACGCCACAAACGTCGACTACCAACTGAGGAAGCGCACAAAAGACGAAAAAGAAAGAAGACGCGAAAAACTTGTCTGTGCATGCCCATGTGCAAGGCTACACTATCAATCCGGCACACGTGGCAAACTGCGTGAAAGATAATTGTTGAGACATTTTATTTCCTCTTTTTGCAATTGACGGTTGGCTTACGCATGCGCTACCACTAATTTGTTGCAAGCATTTTGTGCGCTTCCTCAGTTAATAGTAGGCATTTGTGATGTCTGCTCTTCCTTCTTCTGTCCTTGTTGTACGCCCTGTTTTTTGTAGAATGAATACGTACCAACTAGCTCAGCTTTCTGTTATTGTAAGAAAGGAATATGTTCTCTGCAGAAGACCGTATTTGGAATTCACTTGTCAACTACGTGTCGTACATCAATAATGTTGCAACTGAACAGCTTGCCAAGTTCACGTTCCACTTTTTAGAGGGAGAAAGACCTATATATTCTTTTTGACTCTTGAGCTGGTAGCTCTCGTGTTGTGCCAGGGGAGCCTCCTTTCGAGGCTTCGAGCTAATCGTGTTTGACAGACAGGTGGCTACAAAATGGCAGCTTGAAACGACTGAAAGTCTGATGTGCCATAAACTAGTGAATAAACAAAAGAAGAATTTTAAAGGCTCTTTTTTCTTTGTTAGACAGATAATTACAACAAACAGATAAGCCAAGGAAAATATAGGGAATGTTATTTGTAGTGAATATAATCAAAATGCCAAGAAAGTAAAAAAAGAAACGGGCGAACAGATAACTTGCCGCTGGCAGGGACCGAACTCGCACTATAACGCGTCCAACGCTCTACCAACTGAGGTACTGTGGTTTCATTTTTTTTCAGCTTCTTTGTGGCTGACTGTAAACGTCTATTCCAACTTAATACAACAATTCAGAAATCGACAGATGTTCCGCCTCCTATGCAGGTGCCATCTTCAGTACACACTGGCAACAAAAACAAGAAAGAGGAAAAAAATAGCGGACTTCAATCAGTTCATCAGCCACTCATCTCCTTGCAAACATCCGGCGAGGGGCCGCGGTTGCTATTGCAAGCCGATTCGTCGTGGGAAATGAATGACTTTTTCAGAAGTTCCCCTCCCTCACTCTTGCTCATGAGCCAGTGTCATTGCATTGTTTAGGTCAAAGCTACATACACCCTGTCCAGCAGTGTTCAACAAGCTCCATCTAAGAACGCGTTGTATGGTCGACTTTACCAACCTTTGCTTTCCTGGTACTTTCCTGGTCCTTCCCTGATCCATTGCTGCCCGTTTCATCGGTGTAGTTACGTCGCTTCGCAATCCCCGCATCGTACTTGTAGATAATTCCATACTGATCGTTTCCAGGTGTGCGGTTTTTGGTTTTTGCGAACATGTGTCCCAAGTTATAGCGGGGCTTAAAAGCGGTTTGTATGCCTAGGGGACGCAAAGCTGTCTGAACAGCGTCTGACACACAATGAACAACATAGAGAATAGACTTGATTGATGTCGGCTCCACTCGTTACGCACTCCCCGTTCCTCTTCATACGTTTTTATTAAATATATTCTGTAATTTCATATGCAAGCAATTACTTATTTTATGTTGTAATGAAAAAGTAATGACGTTACTTTTCACAGTAACTAACTGTAACAGTGTTACTTTTTACTGGTAACGTGTCCATGACTGCTCTGCCGTCACTGTGTTGCATAAACGTCCCGTGATGCAACTGACCAATGTCCGACGTCCGTATTTGTTGCTTCCTGTAAAGGCTGAATAATGCACTTTAATCACAGAGGGAGTGCAAAGTAGGGATGTGCCACTCACTAAAAGCGCTCTTTCCTATCTGCGTGCTAAGAAAGTATATTTCTTTTAAGATACAATACCAACCAGCCCAAGTAGCTACTCTTTCGCAGAAAAAAAAAAACTAAAAGCCCGCAGTACCATGACCAGTATAATTCCTATCCATGCATTCATATTCTACCCCAATGAGTGCATGGTTGCCAGCCGAGACAATGCGTCCACATTCACATTAGGTCTACCCCTTCTGTGCATTATTGTGACATTAAGCTTCTGTGGTGCCAGTGGCCAGCACGTCAACCATGCACTCTAAGCAGACGTCAAAGTGAGGAACTTTGGAGGATTATGGTCAGTCTCAACACTGTGACATTTGCACCAAAAAGCCACGTCTCAAGACACTGTAATGTACATATGGCAGCATAAGCTCCTCTCTCTGTCGTGGCCCAGTGGGTTTTGGTTGGTGTTAGCTTCTTGCTGAGAAAAGTCAGCGGCAATTTCCTGCCATTTTCATCAATTTGAGCAATACATCCTCTTAAAGCTACGTAGGGTGCATCTGTTGCCAGTATGTAACCCTTCCTTATGCCAGCAGCATGAAGTGTCGGCACCCTTAATAACTGTTCCTTAATGGCTCCAAACGCTTTTTGCGCGGCATTGCTCCACGGTATTTGCAGTGGGACCCAGCGCCCTGTAAAATTGTTTAGCGGCAGCACTAACGTAGAGTAAATAGACATGTAGTCACGGTAATAATTACATAGCCCGAGAAAGCTCCGTTAACGTAGCTTCTGCGGCCGAGCACAGTAGCATCATGTTGCCAAATTTCTCCCTTATATTGACTAACAGCACAAAAAAGGATGAGAAGGAAACACAGACAAGCGCTGTGTTAGTCCTTTCTTGCGCTGTTAGGCAATTTAGGGGACCACCAACTTGCCAAAATTTTGCATTTTCTCTTATTTTTGAAACTATGCTGTGGCCCCATGTTCACTACCTTTTTTTGTGTGTGTATGTGTGTGTGCGCATCAGGTCCTTCCTCACCTAACCGCACCAATCTTTCACCTTTTATTAAAGATTGCCGTGGGGAAGGACACCCTAATGAGCCTCTAGGTCAATTGACCTATGTTTTCTTTCTTGCCTTAATGCATCACATTTTTCCTAATCGCAGTAATTTTTTGCTTCCACAGCATCGCTTTCTCAACTATTCAAAAGAGTCACGACGTGCAATCTTCGCATTTGACGGCTATACCATGTAAACAAAGCCCTAGGCATCAATCAGCTCGCCAAAATCATCGTGGTTTCTCTTGTTCGAGACTTTGGACTCGGAATCCAGTAGCATGGGCGCAGCGAGCCAGGTGCCCACTACAGGGTGCTGAAGTGCAGCCACTGCAACACTAAAGGCCACAGATCCTGGGAATGGTCCAAGTACCTTCGTCTGTTCTCTCTTCATGGTCCAAGACAGCTTTAGATTCTCTTAACGTGTGAAGCAGCGCACAGAAACCAACATGTGAGGGAAAATATGATTTGACAGGCCAACCCACTGTACTTGCAACTAGGTTATTTTAAAGGGCAAAAGGGAAGTGGTAGCACTTACATACATAAGTGCACCACATGCAACAACTTTATGCATTGTTACGAGCAAAGCTCTTCGTTGCAAGTGGTGTACTTGTGCACATGTGTATTAACTCCACCTTTTTTTCCCTTCAAAATAAGCTGGATGCAAGGGCAGTGGTTGGCCTGTCAAATCATATTCCTCCTTACATGCCTGGTTTCTGTGTGCATCTTCACACGTTAAGATGTTCTGTCACCAATTTGCCCGACCCAACTTCCACCCTCACTGAACTCTGACCAAACGGCCCTTGTCAGGACCACCCATGTGTTGTCCGGCGGGTCCGAATGCTTCCAACCGTTACCCTCTCTAGAGATTTCCTGGTCGGCTTGCCTGGCTAGGGATAGTTTTCTGTCAAGGTAAGGTTGTATATTGTGTATAATGTAAGCATTTCACATTCTCCCTTCATCCCTAGTTTCCTTGCAATAGCCTTATTATATGCCTCTTTTTTTTCCAGAAATTTCAGTAAGCGTTGTAGTGTTCCTACTTAAAAGAACGGAACAGCATTATAGCTTCAGTATGAAACTGGCATCCATCTTAATTTGCTTTATTTTTAATTTTATCATTCTCTTCTTTCCTGCCCCGGCTCTCGTGCTTCTTATTCACCGGTCCCAAGGCTGATACCACTTGAAGCGTTTAACTATCAACAGCTACTGCAGCTACAAGAAGATGCAGGAAAGTTCGTATAGGCATACACAGTAGTGGCTGCATAGATCAAAACACCATTGTTGTCCCCGCCGGCCGCGTTCGTCTCCATCGGCCGTCTTCTTCTTCTGCTTCGTCGGGACCAGCCAGCCCCCAACACAGCAATGGTGACGAAGATGGGATAAGAACCCATTTCGTTCTCCGTGTTCGCCTTTTTCTTGCTTCTAACGGACCTACCCTGCTAACCCTAGACGCTCTTTGTTCCCAGCAAGGTGGCTGCTGCGTGCTGCGTCGCTTCATTCCTTTTTGTCTTGTCTTGTCTCCTAGGAGATCTTGTATCATACCCACAGGGGGGATTTGCCACACTGTACCTCATAATAGATCATTTTTACTACGCTTGCTAAAAAAATAAAAAAACAAAGAAAAATTAGATAGGAAGCATAATAATGTTCCTTTGAAAAAACGTGAAAAATTGCAGAAGAATGCGATAAACCAGAATATATAAAACAAATTAACAAGAATGAGGAAGGGGGAGAAAAAATTGGATATATCTGGCAGTACCACTAGCAGCGTATCCTTCCGGTTGCCTGAATGAATTTATGTAGCGCTGACAGAATAGCACTGCGGCCCACACCCAACTGACTGGCTCCAAACGATAATAGGGTGGATGTATTGACTGGTAATCCGAGCATACCAATCGGTCTTTCAAGAATCATTCGGCGCAGTGAGGTGAAGCGGCGGCATGTGAGAAGAAAGTGATCTATTGTTTCCGGTTCATAGCAAACTACACATAGGTTAGTTAATGAAAAACCTGATTTGTTGAGATAAAAATTTAACAGAGGAACTCTACAGCGAAAGCTTGTGAGGGTCACGTCACATTGACGGGAAAGGCATTTTGCGGTGTTCCGTGGGAATTGCAAGTGCCGAAATTCTTCAGATTGTAGAAGCGACGTTTTGTTGATTTTTAAGATTAACAGGCGTTTGAATCGTTCGGCAGTGGAGGAAACTGTGGAGCTACTAGCACCACCGGGAAATTTAAAGATGCCGAAGCGAGCGAATCAGCAATTTCATTTAGTTCAATTTCAGCATGCCCGGGGACCCAAATAAATCGAACTTCTGATAGGCTATGCGGTACGAGAGACCAAAATATCCTGAGAAGAGGAGACTTCTTTGCGGACGTTAGATGTGTACATACAGACAAAACATCCAAAATAATAATAGCTTTTGATTGCTGATAATTTAGTTTTCGAAGAGCCAGTGTAATAGCCGGGAATTCTGCGAGATAAATTGGTGTGAAGTCAGGCAATTCCTTTTTCATTCAGCTACGCCGCCTCTGTCGTCTTCTTCAAACAGTGTGCTGGCGTCATTTTCTTCTCGTCTGCACCTCTCCATTCTTCTTGCTTGAAATGGCATCTCCTATTCCACCTCCCCTATTTCTTCATTCGCCCGGAGACCCGCCACTTCCGTGGGCGGACTGGAAATTAGTGTTTCAGGCCTACGCAGACGCGGCCGGGGAGGACGCTAGCAAGCCCGAGCGTCGCAAGGCCCTGCTGCTCAACGCGTTGGGCCCTGCCGGGTTAGATTGGATTGGATTGGATAAACTTTTATTTGGTCCTCCAAAACACAGATCACTGTGTTGCGGGCAGCTCCCACGTGGGGACTGAGATGCCAAGCTCCTCAGCCGCCTCGCGGGCTTGGTACCCCTGCCGGGTTAAAGCTCTTCTATACTTTGGACGCCACCAACGCGTCGCCGATGCCAGCGTCAGGCGATGCCTTCAAGAATGCTGTTGCTCTTTTCGATGAGCATTTTAAAGATGTCTCGTGCGATTATCTCGCACGCGTAAAATTCCAAGAAAGGCGACAATTGCCTGGCGAGCCAGTCGCCGAGTTCAATACTTCTCTTCGAACGCTCGCCGCGTCGTGCGGCTTCGGCGCGCTCGAGGACGATATGATCCGCCATCAGCTTTTCACCGGGGTAGCCTCGCAAAACGTCCGCTGCCGCATGCTTCAAAAGGGCTCCTCGATTTCATTATCCGAAGCCCTCTCGATTGCGCGAGAGGACGAGCTTATTCGCTCCCAGTTGGAGCAATCCGCTCCGCATTCAGTGCAGCAACTTTCTGCTGCGGGGGGCCAAGGCGGCGGCTCTTTGTTTCACGGGACGCGTCAACATAACGGCCCTTCATCTTCGTCTCGGCGTGGCGGCCAACATGAACGCCCGCCTGCACAGTCCTTCCGTGGCGGCCAACATGGCGGCCTCTCTGCGTCGCGGGGGCGAGGAAGCCGGCAATATGGTGACCCCATTACACCAAATTCTGGTTTTCAGGAACAGCACCGAGCTCCTAACTCGCGTTCGCAATTTTTTTCTCCAAGCGCAACCGCGCATTGCTTTCGTTGCGGATCGGCTCGGCATTTAGCCAACTTTGCGCAGTGTCCCGCGAGAAACCGCACTTGTCTTGCGTGCGGAAAAATCGGACATTTTCAGTCCGTATGCAATTCTTGTCCAGCAAATCTTCCTGAACCAGTTTCTTCGTCCGCTCCTTCGAGCACTGCACAGACCAATACGGTCACTGTTTTAAATGTGGATGGCCTCCACACTACGTCCGAGCCCAGCATCATAGCTCCAGTGGGCCATGTGCCCTTGTCATTTCTCGTGGACACTGGTGCCTCAGTCTCTTTAACCAGTGCCGCTGACTTTCATAGTCATTTTTCCAACATTCGGCTTTTGCCTTCACACGTCGTTCTACAAACATATTCCAAGAAAACGATTGATAATTTAGGCCATTTTACAGCTCAGGTCTCCTATCGCAGTCGCACTGCTTCCATTACTTTTTATGTAACTGCCAATGGCAGCTCGCTTTTGGGACGTGATGCCATCAGGGCTTTGTCCATCAACATCGTCGGTGCGTCTATGACGTGTGCTCAAGTCGACGTCCAAGATGATCTTCCGGCCAACGTGCCTTCTGAATTGCACCACCTGTTCACCCGTGAACTGGGTTGTGTGCGCGGTTTTGTGCATAAAGTAATGCGTCGACCAGGTGTGTGACCTGTGCGTGCCAAGCTGTGCCGCATTCCTCTTCTTCTCCGTGAGCAAGTCTCTGCGGAACTGTCTCGCCTTCAAGCCAGCGGAATCATCGAGCCTGTCTCTGCTTCCGACTGGGTTTCTCCACTGGTCGTCGTCAAGAAAAAAGATGGATCCCTTCGACTATGCGTCGACTTACGAGAACCGAACAAGGCGATCGTCGTAGACGGGTTTCCACTTCCTCACATTGAAGAACTGCTTCATCAGCTCTCTGGAGCGGTATGTTTCTCCAAGCTGGACCTCGCGTCCGCTTATCACCAAGTTGAACTTTCTGAATGCAGTAGAGACTTAACCACATTTGTATCACACGAAGGCATGTTTCGGTTTCGCCGCGTGTGTTTCGGGCTTGCATCTGCCCCTGCAGTGTTTCAGAAAATGATGTCAATTATTCTTAAGGGTTGTAATGGCGCCCTTTGTTACTTGGATGACATTTTGGCGTGGGGACGTATTTGCGAAGAGCACGATGCTAACTTGCATACTGTTCTCAACCGCATCAGTGAATGTGGTATGAAACTTAGTAACAAGTGCATTTTTTCTGTGAATGAGTTACAACTTCTAGGACATAATGTCAGTTCCCGCGGCTTGACACCTGTTGAATCTAAAGTTCAGGCTATTGTCAATGCTCCACGGCCTACTGATGCCGAAACCTTGCAATATTTTTTAGGTCTTGTTGGTTATTATGCCAAGTTTGTTCCTCATCATGCTGATGTTGTTGAACCACTGCGTACTCTACTTCGTCAAGCATAGCCTTTTAATTAGTCAGCTGAAGCTGAGCAGAGCATCATTCGAGTTAAGTCAATACTGGCCTCAAAGCCAGC